TATGTCTCAAACAGCCTGGTTGGCTTGTACTGACTCCTAGACCAGAAGTTGCTCATTTGGTTTGACCAAGTGTTCTTCACCCAAATCAGATGGGGCCATATTGGTCAGAGGTCACCCAACTCAAGCTGTGGCGAGTTCAGGAGACATCATCAGTAACAGCATTTTAGTCTACCTTCCTGTCTGAGATGAGAGGGTTGAGTCAGCTATGACAACAGGTCAAAATCTTGCCCTATCCTGTGCCATCTTCACAATCTTCCCACATGCTCGAGACCACTATTACAGGCACTGGGTCTGTTCATTTTATTGAGGGTCTTCTCTTTCACTGACCATTGACTTAACATATCCTTTTCCAAGGACTGGTTCCTCCTGACAATTATGCCCGAAGTAGGTGCAAGAAAGCTTCATCATCCTTGCCTCTAAGGAGCATTCTGGTTGCATTTCCTCCATTTTTGTCCTCTTGGCAATCCACTGGTATTCTTTATTCTATATTCAGTATTCTTTATCCAACACCACAACAAAAATTCATCCTTATTCACTGTCCAATTTTCAGATGGATATGAAGCAACTGATCAGGCATACCTGTCTTTGAATGGGTATTCTTTAGCACTTTTGAGAGCTCTTTGATAGCAGATTTCCCTGATACAAAGCATTTTTATCATTTATATACATTGTTTCACACTTGTGCATCCTGTTTTATACAGTTTTTCATTGACAGATTTCATTCATGTATATTATGGGATTCCTCCCTTACCCTTAAAATCATCTTACTAATAACTACATTCATGATAGCGGGTAAGCCAGCTACTTCATGCCTCCTGTCTTAATAACCCCCTTTAGATAGCCAATTTCTGACCTGCCCATCCCCATCCAATCGGTACTCTTAAGAAACAAACACGCCCCTTTTACTAGAGTCCTCTGTTCAACTTGGAAACTTTGAGCATCTGCATCCACAAGCAAAGTCAGATCCAGCGCAAGCCATCAGGCGGCAGCAGTCGACCCTCACTCACAGCATGGAGCCTCTTTATCGGGTTGAGTTCTGGTCAATTCATCCCCAGTCATCCATGGCTAGGTTCAAATGGGCATCAGCTGCCAGTTCAGGAGTTCACACTTCTCCCTGCGTTCCAGACCAGCTGGTCACCTCACTCAGTCCTAATCCTCACAGAGTGCCAAGCCAACAAGCTGGGGTCCTCATGACTCCCTGCTCCTCAAGCCAACAACCCTTCCCTGCTCATACACACATCTGCGCATGCTAAGTGGGCAGCTTTTGACTTTAAAAAAATTTTATTGTGTTATGTGTACCGTCAAATCAGATCTGACTGGTACAGGAGGAGATTGCCCCTCCTCCAGCACAACATCTAGTGGATTCAAACCACACCACATGTCTCTGGGATTGCAATGCAGCTTCTTGCCACTAGGCCACCAGAGCTCCTTTTTATTTTTTTATTATTTTTTGAGTGTGTACTATCAAATTGGATCTGACTGGTACAGAGAAGATTGCCCCTTCTCCAGCAGAGCATCTAGTGGATTTGAACCACGTGCCTCTGGGATTGCAGTGCAGCTTCTTGTCACTAGGCCACCAGAGCTCCCATTTTTTGACTTCTTGACTGCTGTTACTATAGGTGTTGATTGTGGATCCAAGTAAAATTCAATTCTTGGCAACTTCAATCCTTGTTTCCATCTATTCTGATGGCACCTATTGGTTCAGTGGAGAGAACCTGTCCCGATATGTAAATGTTCATTGTGTATCCATCTCTGCTCTCCAAATCGCCCTCCATCCTTGTTGCCCTCCTGTTTTCTTAATAACAGCCTTATGCAATATTTGACCTTTTGTGACTGTTACTTCACTCAGCATAGTGTCCTCTACCTTGCCCCTGTTGGGTAGTATTTTATTTAGTGCTGCATCATACTCACATACACTACCAATTTTTCTAGCCACTTGCTTGATGATGGGCAGGGGTCTTTTTGCCAATACCTTCACTGCAGCTTGAACTTCTTCCTTTGTAATCATTGGTTCTTGATTAAATGCTATTTATTTCCTGAAATGCTTCAGTGTTGAGCAATTATTTTTGGTACAGTGACACTGAATAGATCTGATGTACTGGACACTCATGATAGAAAACCAGATGAGTTGTAGGATGACATCAAGGACATCATCCAAAAAGAAAGCAAAAAATCATTACAAAGAGAGAAGAAAGACAAGACAAAAATGGATGTTAGAAGAGACTCTAAAACTTGCATTAGAAAGTAAGGAAGCCAGAACAAAGAGAGAAATGCTGAATTAAGACAGATGAATAGAAAATTTCAAATGGGGAGCTCTGGTGGCCTAGTGGCAAGAAGCTGCACTGCAATCCCAGAGGAACACGGTTGGAATCCACCAGATGCTCTGCTAGAGATGGAGGGGCTATCTCCTCCTGTTCCAGTCAGATCTGATTTGACAGTACACATACACACAGTAATAAAATAAAAAATTTAAAATTAAAAAAATTTCAAACAGCAGCCCATGAAGACAAAATTAACACAACAGAAAGAGCTGAGGTCAGAAAGGGAAGAAAATGCTTGGCATTTCTTAAGCTAAAAGAAATGAAGAGCAAATTCAAGCCTCAAGTTGTAATACTGGAGGATTTTATGGGTAAAACACTAAATTATGTAGGAAGCGTCAAGAGAAAATGGAGTATCTGTTAAGTAAAACTGGACTAACATTTTACTGAGTACCAACTTTTTGCTAGTTCTTAAAATGTTTTCTTAAATCACTTCACTTGGAGGTGTTTTATCCCAGTGTTTACAGATGCAGAGATGGTAGGTAAGGGGTCAATGATAAATGACTTGTCCAAGATTTCACATGGAATGAGAGATTATGTTTCAGACTCTCAATGCCATAGCTTCAGGCCTGTGGCTACCCCAGTGACAGTTGGACAGAGCTACTCAATTTGGTTGGTTCTAAGGAAAGGGCAAGGAATCATAACCACCAGGCTGGACTCTACTGCTTGGCAGTGAGGGATTAAGGAGACATATCCCTCCTTGCCCTCAAGGCAGTGGGTATAGTGAGAGAAGAAGGCTGTCCCAGTTCAGAAGACCAATTCCCCGAATGCTGTTGCTGTCTGAACAGTAAGAAAATATGACTCCCACCACAACAAGATAAAGGTAAATAATCCAATTGAAAAATGGGCACAGGATATGAATAGACACTTCACCAAAGAAGACATTCAGATGGCCAACAAGCACATGAAGAAATGTTCAAAATCCCTAGCTCTAAGAGAGATGCAAATCAAAACAACTA